TTGTTAAACCTCTAAAATGTGCTCCTAAATTTTGTCTCGAGCCTCATGCGTCGCTATAGCTTTCTGCCGGGATTTTTTTTCACGGTTGATTTCGTTCAGTCAGTTCCACGCTTTCATGAAATGGAACACGCGCCAAGCGCCTGGCAAACCACCACTTAGGTAATATGACATCTCATTTGCTTCAGGAAGCAGCAGTTAGCTAGCTCCATGCATGAGAGAAGCCTGCAACCTGCTTTTTCAACTAACAACTCTCACAGCAGCAATCATTTGCTTTTCTCGCTTTACATGTACATTGCGTTTGTGTTTCTGACAGTGTTAACTTTTGATTTTAGTTGACTGCCTGTTTTTCGACGTGTATGCAGTTTGTAAATATTGTTGCTTTGTACCATAGGTATAGATATAGCTGCAAATTGTGTCCACTAGAGCAGTCAAATTAAATTGCAGGAAGTCAGTAACTACTATACAGTAGATTAACAACCATCTGGTTATTTCAAATTTGGATTAATGTAGCAAACATATTGATGCCCATGCTTTTTTGAAAGTTTGTTTGCTTAATAATCAGATTTTTTTACTCATTCTGATTGTTGGTTGATTTTTATTGATTTTGCTTCTCTACTTTGGTTTTTTTCTTGTGTGTGAGTGTGTGCTATCCTTTAATTCATCTAACACCGAATCTCATGTCTTATAAAATTGTTTGTATCCTAATTTTTTTTCTTGAGTGTGAACTCTTTTTTCTTGTATCACAATGTTCTTTCTCTCACCAGCCAAAATCTGTCTATTTCATCTTTCTTATCATGTTTACATGTCGGTGTTGGAACTAGAAGAATTCGTACCTTAGATTGAAATTTTTCAGGTTTTCCATCATTTTTTATTTTTATGAAGGATAGCTTATAATTGTCATTGCACGAACTCTCACATGATATTTTTGTCAAAGACATCTCTAGGATATGCAGAACCTTCAAAAATATTCTTTGAAAAACTAATGCAAAAAAATCAGGCTATGATATCTTCAAAAAATAAAATATGATTGGAAATTTTTTAACACAAAAATTAGAGTACATACTTATTTTCCTAGTTTCACCATTAATGCCTTTCTTCTAGTTGAAAACATGCAATAATCAGTGGTAATTTTTACTGCAGAAATTGGTTTTTTCTTAGTTTTTTATCTTGCAAAACGGACCAGGGACCGTCTGGTAAAGTTGGAGCTTACGCCTATTAACGTCATGGGGTTAAATCCGTCTAGGCTTCAATATTCACATCCATCTTTTTAATGTTTACTGTTCATACTAGAATTCAAAACTAAATATAAATTCGTAAAACTCACTTTAAATCTCTCATAGAACAACAAGATTATAAAGTCTAAGGAGATTTTTTCACTGTTCATTATGATCATGGCGTAACCGGCTTAGGAATAAATGGGATCGCTGCTGCTTTAGTTCAATATCTTTCCGAACTATCATGAGTCTCAAAATGTGTTAGTTGTTTCCTCAAGATTGCAAACAATTTCATACGAGTTCAAATTAGTGCTCCTTGTTGCTGATGTGATCCTAAAGTGTACAAATTTTTGCCATGGCAATTTTTGTTTTATATTTTGTCGGCAAGATTCTTATTTGGTAATATTTTCTTTTCCCACAGCGCGCTTTGTCAAAAGTCACTTTGTGTCTCAGCACATTTTTATAGAATAGTTGAATTGGGAATGCCCAATTCTTGCGGGATGTAACACCTGAGACAATGGAGTCATAGATATTTCATGTAGAATTTTCGATTGGTATCCTGAAAGGAAGTTTCAAGGATCGTGAAAAACGTTTAAAAATGATATTCAGAGAAAATAAAAGGTTCCATATTTAAATCAGGTTGTTATAAAGACAGGTGGCATCTCCTGATCCTTTTTAAAGAGTATTGAAATTAGGAAGGTCTTAAAAATGCACAAATTTTCTAGTTTGCTGTGAAATAAGATTTGAAAATTCATGTTGTGCCTTTTTTTTTTTAAGCTCTTTTAGTGTGAGATAGGTAGGTACCTATTAATGTCTATTACTGTCAATTGTTCAATTTTTTTATAGAGTGCATATGAAGTATTGGTCAGAGAGGAAGTGCATCTTGGGCCATTAAAAGGATCCATATGCTTCACCTCGAAGTCAAAGTATGAACAAGTTCTTCATAACTGAAAATATCCAATTGAAAGCGCTGTAACTTAATGCGCAGAGACAATTTAATGAAAACTAGTAACCAACATGTTCTTTTACTGCAACTTAGAAAGAGTGATTTCTTAAGATATCATGAAATGAAAACGGTCAAAAAGTCTGTGATCGTATGATGGTCATTCAAAATGCTATTAACATGACTCTGAGAATGATTTTTTTGGAGACCTATCTCAAATCAGCCTACGTATTATACAGAAGAATATTATTCCCCCATCGCGCTTTCATTAACTTTGAGGTGAAGATTTGAATCTGAGGAATGCCTATTCGTTGAAAAATGTATCTCTCAATTTTAATGAATACATTCAATGCCGTTCGAAATTATAATTTCCAACACTGGAAGTTGCATTTGCGATTTTCTGCTTCCTCCTCTATTTTTCCATCGCAACAGCGCAATGCAATATTCTTTTGCAAACACTTTAACACTATGTTAAGAATTAATCTGTTTAACTCTGCTGCCTAAGGTATTGGTCTAAATGGTTTTGGATGAGTTTACTTCTTTCGCGGACTGTAATATTGCTTCATTAAGGATGGCTTTTAACCCTTAAAAATGAAATATTGACTGAGGACTGAGGACCTTATACCTTCAATTGTATTAACATGAAGTCTGTATCCATCATTTAAGCTATGTGGTCTTAGGTTTTACCACCTTTATACAGACTCTCTTCTCAATGTATTACTCCTCTGAGTTACCTGAAAATCTCTCTTATCTCACGAAGACATTAACACCCAGTTTAATTGCAGAAAATTGAATTTTTCAGGTCATGTAAGCTTTGATGGTAAAATCTCAAAACTCAATCCTTCTTTTTCCCCCTCCGAAATCCTATTGTTAGTCTGTATGAACCTCAGCACCTTAAAGCTTATATTTTTGCTATAGCTGCACAGCAAGTACTTACTCGTTTTTGTCACAGCTCTTCATAGAGTCAGTTTTCTAGTTCCTAGTCCAGTAGGTAAAGAAGCAAATTTATCAAAGTTGCATCAGAATGATGTGGAATGATGTGAGACGATATGTTATATTGAGTTTTTTAGTTTCTGCAATGTTTGAAGTTAGTGTCCTGGCCATAAACTTCTCAGTGTCCCTTCAGAGTAGGAATTTTTCAATCTGCATTTAAAGTAAGTTTATCAAACTAGGAGGCACTTTTCATAGTACTAATGTTTAAGACTTTGTACACAGTAACAATCTCTTACTCTTCATTCCTTCCATTTGGGGGGGGAGGGGGGTCGAGCTAGATCTTGATCTCTTCCGAGTATGTTTTTGCTTTTGCGACAAATAGCTGTACATACTTATGAGCTTGTGCATACTGTATATCTCTCTCTGAAATCTGCCCCTCTCTCAAGTCAATCCACTAAGTTCAATCAATAAAGGTTAAGAACTATCCAAAAGTAGCAGTGCTTATAGTATGCTGTAAATAAAATTAGCCACTCACATAGTTATTTTTTTCAGATTAAATTTATTCAGCAGTTTTTATATCATATGTATCGCATTTGAAGAAGCTGTATTAAAAGCAGATCAGATTTTACTTCTTATCATTCAAGAAAAATTAATTTTTGGAGGGAAAAAGCAAAGTGTAACCTGATTTTCTTCTTTTAATGAAAAAATATTGTTTTCTAAGTATACTGCATAATGTTTTATCAGTTAGAATGCATTGATTTATCGTCAAATAGCTATTATGTGACTGTCCTAGGCGAAAATGACCCTATTATTGAAAACTCAAATTAATGAAAATATCAGCACCACTACTCAGAGAATCGTTTTTAACCATTCTGAAATGAAAAACGCTGAAAAAAGTCAAATCGTATGAAGTTATGTTGTTTTGAAGTTTACGATTCAAAGACAGGCTATTGGTCAAGATATTCAAAGTTTCTAGCCGCTAAATTCAGGACTCAAAATGGTCAGATTATTATGTTTTAATATGCCTTGTTGCCCCCCCCCCNGCGAAAAAAAACCTCTCGCAGTATATTTTTTGTAATATTAGAGAATATTTCCATCTAAATTTTATTTTAAAATTCTTTCCCATTTCAAACAAAACGCTCTCTTGCAAAGAGTTCTGCCCTGTATTGGGGTTCCTTTTTTCGCTAACAGTCACGTGTATACTTCATTTATCAACATTTCTTGGTTTTAAAATTACAAATCTTGTCAGCTTGCTGCATTAAAATGTCAGTTAGAACGTCCAATCGTGCCTCTCAAGCGTTGATGTTCCTCTGCATTTTTTAGAGATCGATCTGGATTTGTTATTCTGCATTGCTGTCAACATAACAACTAGAATTTTAAAAATACGCACAAATTTCCCTCTCACTCAAATTTAAAAATCAGATTAAATAAATATTTAGATTTCCAATAAAATTTCTTTTCAGGTATCTAGGTAGGAAATATATTGGTTTAATCATGAGTTTTTTCTTCTTCAATTTTTAGTTAAATTTAAATAATAAAAATAAATAGAAGTATTCTACTTTTCATAATTTTATAATGGTAAAAATTGGTAAATTCCTTAATGAAAGATCATAGAAAAAGTGAAGAAACTAAAAGAAAAGAAGACTTCCAACAGCAAAATTTTGTAACACCCAAGAATAAAATTAAAAAAACAGGTAACTATCTAAGACTTAAGTAAAAAAAAAAAGTATAAGGGTCTTTAGAAGGACAGTTAAAAGTCAAGGCAAGTTTTCTGTACAAGAATAAAATGGTCTCCTTCAGCATCTATTTAGTTCGAAAATTTTCTGTCATTTTATAGTTTTGTTTTTGTTTTCTTGTACTCATGAGCTTTTTAACTGATGTTATAATTATTTGTTTATCTCTTGTTGTAGGCTCAATAGACAGTCAGATGCATACAGTACCAAGTGACCGACTGAGCAGTGCTGTTCTTGTATTAGTTGTAGTTGCTGCCTTATTTGGGATTCTCGTCATAGTTGATGTATCTTGTTTCTTCTTCAATGAGACAGGTAAGCTGAATTACATACTCGTCTTTAATTTACCTATTCTATTAATTTAATTTTGCTTCTTTCTCTTAATTTTAAATAGAATCTGCCAGAAGATCTTTCTTTTTTAAAAAGTGAATCAACTTACTCGAACTATCTTAAGTACGCACCTTGCTAGAGATGAGTTAAACGCCTTTTATCTATTTTGGAGTCATAAGTATTGGAGTTTAATTTGATTTGCACAGAGAATCATATTTTGCTTATATTTTACTGGCAATTAACCAGTCATGTACGCATTAGAGCTAGTCTGGCATATATAAATATTTAACTCACCTACATTCTGCATTTGAAATTCAATGATTAATGGTTACAGTAAAGCTTCATTATCCGATAAATTATGGCGGAAACGAGAGCGAGATATCAGTAATGCTAGAAAATAAAAACCGCAAAATACGACAAAACCAATGTAATATGAGTGGAAAAATGGAAAAAAAGCGAAGAAACACAGGAAAAATAACGTAAACGTGCCTGGATAAGTGACTAGCGAATCATGAAGGTATTTCTGTAGTTAGGTAATTGCTAACATCATATTCTGGTTTTCCTTATAAGTTCCTGAAAGTAGAAGAGATGCAACACTAACTTTTCCATCATGTATCATCAACCATTTTGTACACCTGCACAGTTTTTAGAGTGCTTTGTTTCCTAGAAAAAAATCGTTGAACATTGTAAGATCTCACGTAAAAAAAGCTTTGGCTCTGCATCTGGGTCAGCGCGCTTTACTTGGTAATTCTCATAACAATGCATTTAACATCTAAGATGCAGGTTTTGGGCTCTAACACCTACTAAGTGCAAGTACGAAAGTGCCACATGGCACGGGGGTAAATTTTAAATCACTACAAACTAGATTTTAAAAGGTCTGGAAATTATTTAAAAAGAAGTTTTAACTTGGAACCATGAAGAATTACAGAAAAACCAACCATTGAATGTTTTCACATTGTAAGGTAGTTTGCAAGTGAAATTCTGAAATTGTAAATGCTAATAAGTATGAACAGTCATAGTCATTACTTTTGATCACTCTTTTTCTTTAACAAATGGTTTTTTTTTTCAGGTTTACTTTCACTTGCATGCAGCTCACTGTGTGGGAAGAAAAAGAAACATGCAAAAGATGATGATCCCAAACTGGGCAGGTATGTTTCATTAGTTTCTTTTTATTTCACAGAAATAGGTTGATTTCAGGGAAGTAGATTTGGTTCAGTGTCATTCAACTAATCGATGTTACCCCTCTCATATTTTTTCAATTAACTGCATTGCGTTTTAAGGCTGACTCCTCAAGTTCGAGAATTAAGGGGCCGTTCATAAAATGCACAACACTGAAAATTTGAGTTTTTAACCCCTCCACCCTCTTCTTCATAACATATTATCAGTAACACAGCTTCACCCCTCCAAAAATGTATGTGATACTTTTTTCGACCCGCTTCCCCTTCAATCAGAATTTTGTGATAACTTTCGGATGAAAAATTTCCCCCTTGGGTTAAGTTTCCATCTTCGATTTTTGAAAAACCGGCGCTGAAGGCCCCCTCACCCTTAAACGTACCTATACCGCAGGCTGAGACCCCTCCCCTCCAGCGTTACGTATTTTATGGATGGCCCCTAAATACAGCTCTTCATATCCTCAGCATGTCCCCTTTAGTTAACAGAGAATGTTGAATGTCTGTTTCTTCTCCCTCTGTTCATCTCTGCTGTCCTTATCTTTGTAGGAGTGTAGAAAATACCTTCATCTTCTCTGTCATAAGGTCATGCAGGTACCGCGTACACTCAATAATTTTGAGCTCTATACTTAATTTGAAATCGTTTATAATTTGAGAAATCAGGCTGATTTCCTTGCAGTTCAATTTCTCAATTTTTGGTTCAGTCTGTGTCAGCTCTTTATCATTCACATATTCGTTTTTGCAAAGCTGAATTTTTCGAATCTCTCTCTTGCTGCTCAAAGCTAAAGCTAACTTCGTTTTTCTTGAGTGGTACCATAGTTCTCATCAGGTTTTCATTGTTGAATGTTGAAAACTATTTACCTATGTGAAATGTTGAAAAGTCTATCTATTAGTGTACCTGGGAGATTATCTTTCATATAGTCGCCAAAATACTGCGTTTGGAACTTTGAATTGAGTTTTATCCTCCCATAAAGTTGAATCAAGTTTAGCAGAAAATTTAAGAATCAGTGTAAAATTCATGCTCTTTAAACCAATCAAACCAAAGGCAAAATTAATGGTGAATATTTTTGAGAATTGTCTAATTTTTGTTGATGTAAAGCCAAGGCCACTATTTTACAGTCTTTACAGTTGGCGTTTTCCATTGCCGTATTGCAACAATCCGTCGACGTCCGATAATAGCAGTCCTGGCAACTGCTCGGTCCATTCTCATACTGAAAAGTTACCTCTGCCTGACATGAATTTTGTTTTGTAAGACATCAAAGTTGTTCCTCTTTGCTGTTGTTATTTCAGCATGAATTTTCTTTTTCGGTTGAAATTTTTTAGTTTCTGGATTTTTCATCGTCAGCCACACACACTAAGTTATTTTCATCCCAGAATTATTTTTACTTACTTGTTTCTTTTATCCATTTTTTTAACTCCTTTCCATGTTTATAAGTTTGCCAGTTATGTATCTACAATATATTTAGAAGCCATCTGCAATTGTGCCATTTCTAAGTTCGCCGATGTCTCTTGAAAATATCATGTCCTTTTTCTCTTGAAACTTTGTTCACACCTGCATTTGTTTGCTATTATTCGTTCTCTGCTTGTAGTTTTACTACCTTATATTTATTTTATTGGAGCTAGTATCACTCTTATTTTCACCTTACATGGTCTGAGTACAATTTAAACATAACATAAGACTAAATGAACTTACACACTTTATTGTTAACTGTTTTTCTACCAGAAGAGCTTATAGCATGCTCAGGTACATTTTCCTAATTTTTAATGCTTAAGAGTGTTTCACTTGTTCGCCAACAAGTACCGAAGCGTTTCTTGTATGGACAAGGACAGCGTCCTCAAAACTCAAATCCTCTGGTATTATTAAAGTATCTCAAATTATCGCGAGATAACTAATATTACAGCCATTCAATATTTTGTAAAATTCTGGAGAAGCAGCTTGCTGTATTCTCTAGAATTTTCTTGAATAATCAGGTAGTGTTTGTGGAAGCAGAAAGGATATGGCTTGTAAAATGAGTATTTTTCATCTCTAGAGCATGTGTTGTGGGGCCATAAGGCAAAGTACTTATCCTGCTCCAGGCTAACTTTGAAGAATGCGTGAAGTGAGCTCTACTCGGCTAGTACCTGTCAAAACTGACGTTCAAAAATTTAAGTCAAGCTCAAGACCTGTCAATCAAATTTCAATCAATCAATCAATTTTTTTTAAAAAAGAACCTGGCAGTATAAAGTAATACCCCGATCAACCTATGAATTGTGGCCAAAGCCCGAGCCAGGTACTTGAGCAATCAAGACAATCAAATCTGCATAAAAACACTTAAAACTTGTATCAAAAAATGGAGAAAAAACAAGAAAAATAACACATAAGCGTGCCTCATTGTCCTGCTGGATATCTGGATTGCTGGATTTAAGTGACAAGCGAATAATCGAAGTATTACTGTAAACTCTTGCGGACTTGGGTGGACCGGGAAAATTTAAAAATTGTCAATTTCATTACAAAAAAGCCTTTGCTACTAGTGCTTCATCAATGTTGGTTGCTTAGTTTCATTTGAAATATTTCATTTGAAGTTTTTTATTTTCAATAGTTTTTAATCATGATTATGCCAATTTCCAGCTTCTTTTACGCAAGCTCCTGCAAACTTTAAATTTTCATTATATTTCCTGTATTAATGTACAATATAAACAATAATGTAAAGTATCAAAAGATAGCTGAGTTTTTCAGTTGTCCAGTTTTTTTCGTTAAAGCTAAAAATTACAAATTTGATTTTAACGCAAGTTTGACACCTTCATTTAGATTCAACTTTAAATATGCTTCGGCTATGTGAGTTTGTTGATACATCTAATTCGTGCGGTGTAGATAAATCCTTGATAAAGCACCTGAAAATGAGCATGGACTGTATGAAATGTTGTAATTGCAGTAGAAAAAAGAATTGAAAATTTGAAAGCTCAAGGTAATCAAATGATCATCCATCTTGAAAATTGCTGTATCGAAAAGAAGCGGTGTTAAATTTGCAATCATGGAGTCAGTACTCAACAGAAACTGTTAATTTTATGATATTTATAAAAAAAATACTTTACGAAAGTTGAGATATACAATTTACGAAAATAAAAATTGAAAAATTAAATTGTTCAGACAGCAAAGTATCTGTCTAAATAATATAATTTAGTCTAGTTAACCCATCTAAGTTTCCTCTAATATCAGACGTGTTTAAATGTGAGTTTGTAATTTTTATATCTTTTCTTTTTTTTCTAGTGAGGCCAAAGAACTGTTAAATGGGCATCGTGACAGCAAAGTTAGAATCGATTCAAATATGGATGACAGGTATTCTATTTTATCAGTTTTTCAGAATAATTCCGCTCAATCTTTAAAAAATACAAAGAGTATTAGAAAATAAAATAACTTTCCTTTTGTCTGAACATTTACGGAGTTGACTGTGAATAGATAAAACAATATCACCTCTGCAGGGCCATGAAAGGCACAAAACATCTTTTATTGTTTAAATGTGTCTCTACGTGAGTGTTTGCCAGAGATTTCTGCAGGAAGGGGGCTCACAGGAACATTTAATCCCTGAGAAGTCTGGTGATAAGCACTACCACTCACTGTCCCAAGATCCCTAGCTCAGCTCTGTCAAGCTAAGTAAAGAGCAGTAAATCCATATTCTGCCGAAAGTCCACTATGCAAAATGTAATTCTATTCGTTTCAAAGAATAAGATACCTTCACATTTCAGAAAAGCCAAAATTGAAATAATGATGCTGATGATTTTTGATGGAGTTGTACAAAATTCTCATGAGACTCCATGCATTGAACATACCTCATGTGCGTTTTACTGCAGGTTGGAAATCCTGCTCTTTCTGCATAGCAGAGCTGAGAAGTTAATGTGTTGGAACTTACGAAAAAGATGGAAAGGAATGATAATATTCCTAATATATTTGAATGATAACAAGTATATCTAAGAGAGTACCTATCGTCTTTAGTTGGAACTCGAGAAGTTTGAGTGCTATATTTGTGGTCTCGAGCACCCTAAAATAATGAAATTCTAATGGCTCCACTTTTCAGGAGTGGAAAATTTTGAAGCCATCGATTACTTCCGTAGTCTCTTTGTGAAAATCATTTCATAATAAGTTCTGCTTTTAAAACTAAATTGGGTCAAGCTGTTCCAACACCACTGCTCACTACAGGGGAACGGCAACCCTAAAATCGAAAATGAGATAGTTTTAAAAATTGAAGCGAGAAGGTATAAGAAGCAAAATGGCTCTGTTCTGAATGAGAAATTCACAAAATCGGCAGAGATATGAAAGATTGTAAATCTGACTGGTGACGTCATGTGCTCCCAGTGCAACTGCGGTTCACACGCACACAACTCGAGGTCTAGCGCATTTGCTGTTGGGCGCCGCGAAGTCGCCTTTATAATCACCCCTAAGCAAAGAAAAAAGAGTCGACCAGGAATGAGCGAGATCAGGGCGAACTAATAACTTGTTGCAAACACGCGTTGGCCACTTGACACCGGAGACAGAATGCAAAGTGCATACTGCCATATGCAAGACGGAGCTCACGATGTCTGGTGCTCAGCTGTTTTTTCGCAATAGCGGCTCAAGGAATGCAATTTCGGCATCGTTTATTGCACACTTTTCTTCGTCGATTTAGCTAAACTTGCTTTTAAGGTTGCCGTCCCCTTTCAGTGAGTGCTGCTAAGCCGTTCAGGTCCCTCCAGTCTCAGTCTCTTAGTATACATACCTGCAGGAACATTCATTAACTTTTTAATTTATTTGTCTTATTGTGAAAAGTGCTCTTTTATGCTGTTCAGCATCTTGAGTCAACCATGTACTTTCAATTTAATACTACTGAGATCTCATTTATCTCTCCTATTTTGCAGTATGAAGAAGAATATGCAAGTCAATTATGATATGAAGAAATCAATTTCCAAAACTAGTTTTGTTGGTAAAGATTCTGCGGTTTAGTGGCCGTTGTTACTGGAGAAAGGTCAGTATTACCTCTGAGGTGATTAATTGTAAAGTATGTGTAGAATATAAGTAAAATGGTTTAATTTTCTACATGAAATAAAAAAGACCAAGAATTATTACAGAACATTTGCCTGGTAGTTAATCTGTGTCCTCCTACTTCAAAATATTTGATAAGTGGAAAGTATGTCTGTCTTGATTTTTGAAAATGTCAATCTTCATTAATTTCTCACCTATGAGCTGTTTTGAACCGATGTAAGAATTTCAGACAGATTATCAGTACCATCAATTTTTAGTAAAACTTTTTATTTTCTTCTTTAGCTCTAATGGGATATTGTGAATTCATTTTGACCAATGCCTCTTCTTAACACTTTTTAGCGACCACTGTGGGTAGGGATTGTTCTTTCCTATCTTTGGATAAAAATTTGCCTCAATATATTGAAGTGTTTGAAATTCAGAAGAAAAACTTTATAAGTGTCATTTTTAACTGATCCTTATTTCCTCTATACATTACAGGTTACGAACGACCCGAACCTGAACTGATGACTTTCTGTTGAATCCATCAGAAGTCAAGAATCACCCATCTTGTGAGCAGCTTGGTTTTTTGTAATTATTCGTGTAATTAAAGTTAGGTGTAATGTAATTAAGGTGCTTAAGAGTTTGTATTGTTTGTTTAATTTGATTGTCTTCGTTATCCGATAATTGCCAACCGACTTGCGTCCATGAAAATTTGATTTTGCACAGAATTGATATTTGTTAATATTTATGTAATACCTCCAGTTGTTGCATTTCTAATTCAACCAATCGGTAATTCATACTAACGCCTCTGTTTCTTTTTAAAAGTATGAATGTTTGAAAGTATTTGTGATTCTTTTTTGACAGTATTCATTCTCAGTGTAAATGATCAATATTCTTAGTCCTGTCCAATCTGTATCAATATTATTCTTTTCTTTTGATTCAAATGGAATTTTAATTTATAAAAAGTAACTTTTTATAAAGAAATTCAAACAGGGATTTTAAATTTAGCCTTTTTCGTTTCTTTTTTTTTGCGCTGAGACGTGCAGCCAATGCAACACTGCCGTTTTCCTGTTTTGTTTTTTTTTAATTTTTTAAAAAGAAAATAGGTAACCAATTTTATTTTTGAGCGCAGGAGTAGGTGAAATTTCAAAATATTGGTTTGCTATCACTGCAAAAGAGTTCATGTGATACTTGCCCACCGTTTAATGTATGAATGTTGGGAGTGAATGCAAGAATGTTCATAGTAAATGCCTAAGTTTTATAAAATGCAATGTTGAATGAAACATGTCTATCTCAAGCTATGGGTTCCTTGTCAGTTTCTGATTGTACCCTTTTGTACCAGCAAACATGAGATGAGAGAGTCAGGTTGAACCTCAAAAAGAAGGAGTATGCATTTCGGTAGATTTTAGTAAAGATCAAGTTATCAACAATCTGCAACCACCTTGAAGAAAAAAGGGAGGAAAGAAATAGATTCAGAAAAAAATCATTGTTGTTCGTAATAAGAAACTATGAAAGCCACATATAGCTACATAACTGTATTTGTATCATTGAATTTTTGTTCTCTATATGAAGGAAGATGGAAAAAGTCTGATCAGTAATTTAAGTTTACTGTGCTTTTTGTTACTTTTGATGCATTTTTTGATAATTCGAGACAGAGATAAGAAAAATTGGGTAGGTACATCATGATTTTTAGGCCAAAGGATAACTGTCTGCCGTAGATTGTGAACTGTATTTGGTAGCAGTGATACAGTTATTATCTCTATTATTGTGATATGTACCGTCGATTTTATAACCTTTTTTAATAGTTTTTAATATTCTTCAACAATTTCAAGGACTAGATAATACTGATGTAAACCCGCTTTGTGGAATTGCGACTGAAATTTTGTATTATTTTTTCTTTCAAAAGGCGATGATTGGTAAAAGTGATAGTCAGGTCATGATTGTAATTTTTGTACATAGATAAACTATCTGTGTAATATTTCTATCCTTTTGATTGTTTTTCTTTTCGTTGCATTTTTTATCTTCTATTCTGTTTTATTTATATTTCTCTCGCTGACAATCTGAAAACAGTATCTCTTACAATTAAAGGAAAAGAAAGATTGTTTCTTCTTTTTTTCCTTTTTCTTTGTAACTACTCATCAACTTAAGTTAAAAGAGGAATTTAAACTGTAATCTTAATGTTTTATGTGTATTTTAAATTTAAAGCTTTTTAATTTGAAAGTAAGAAATCGAGCTGCTTAAATAAATGTAATTATCAGTGTGATCATTTCACAAGGGTTTAATCCTTGTTTTAATTTTACTCTTCCACCCTCACTTGTATCTCAACTAATCAGAGATTTTACCAGATACTGGGATATTTTCACCTTTAATGACGATTACCGATTACTTTATAATATGTATTTACATCATATTTTATGTATTTTGTCCCCCCTCCCCCTCGTTTTTCAAGGGCATTATCTCCCCTCTATTTTATCTTGCCTGATCATAGATGTTATGTTAAAAAGAGTTCCAAAACACTTATGAATGCTTCAACGATAAGCAACACATGAAGTTTCTAAATATTCCTTTTCTGTGTGTACAAAAAAAGTAGGTGTGAACTTCTTTTCTGAGTGTCTTGGTCAAAAAATATGCTTTGTAAAATTGCAATAAATTGTGCATTTTGACTAACTTATTTTTAAATTTTTATTTTATATTTGTTATAGGGAATAAAAGTTTCCTGTAAAAATTTAAATGAATGTAGTAAAAGTACATATTACCCCTTTTTTTGTGTTTTAAACCAATAGCCCTTCATCATTTGGTCTAAAGCATTCCACGATCACAAAATTTAACAGAAGTAACAGATGTCTCTACAACAAAACATTTTATCATCTCAATTCTAGTCAGTAACTTGAAATTCACTTACATTGCACGTGTTAATGTGTAAGAAAATAATGTTTAACATGCAAGAGAGTTGGCCCCTTTATCTCTCTATTTACAATTAGTGTTTTAGTTACTTATTTACCCTTTCCACTCTAAAATAAAAATTGTACAGTTAATTTTTTTCTACGCAAAAACATTACAATGGTGATGATTGATGCGCCTTTGAAATTAAATAATTTTAAATTGAATCTTGACCTCAGTTAATTTTAAAGTCAATTTATATTCTCTTCAAAATTATAATTCTCATTTAATTTAAAGAGTGTCGATCATAGTATCAGGACAAGATATCCAGCATGCAGCAATAAGTTTCTTTTTTATAATGAATCGTCCTTTGAGAATAAACGCAGAAGCAAGCAATTTATCATGGATTTTTAATGAAATATACTAAGGGATGACTAAAGTGGCATCCCTTTGAATATTTGCAAATGTTCACACCTCTCATGCTGTGTTGGAAGTCTATTCTTAAGAGAAGATTGTTTACATCAAGAGAAAACACGTAGCCTTCATCATCTTTTGTAGTGTTTTTCAACTGTACATCTAGTATTAAGACTCTGCTTTTAGTGTTAATACCATATCCTGTGAGTTTATTGCAAACACGCATCAGCATCAACTTTGTACTTATTCGAACAACTAACCTGTGATTTTCCTTTTTTTTATGGAGTAATTAAAAGACTTGTATGTAATCCTTTTGATGTAAGTACTGTAGTTTAATCTCTTTTAATTTTATTTTTCTCTGTATTTAATTAATGGAGGAAAATGATAAAACCAATTTAATCCAATAATGCAACAAAAACAGAGAAAATTTCTAATAATTACATTCTTGCTCTTTCACTTAGAATGACAAACATCTGAGAAAACAGTTTTTCCACATCTTTCAAAATACTCTAATTTTTTAATAGAAAGCATTCTCTCATTTCCGCATCAGAAAATTATAATTTAATTCTTTCCTTAGAACATGGAAGTGGAATGCAGAATCTTTAGCCCAAATGCACCATTCAGCACTGAATCCAAACTCGTTGTCAAGAATGAATCCAGAATCACATTGGACATTTCTTTGATTCAATTTTGTATTATGATATGTTTACAGAGCATTATGAAACCCTCTCTCAAGATCAATAAATAAATCTTATAAGCACTTATATATGTATAGATCTCCTGAGATTCATTCCGAGACGGCCTCTTGCAATGGAGTTGCCCTTATGAATCAGCAAGTAGAGTCTTGGATCAGAACATCACCTCAGGCAACAGTGCAACTTGTTTAGTACATATGAAGTGTTCAAGCCGGAGGAGTTCAAGTGCTAGGAAAATATACTTACATTCTGTGTATGACTCATTTCTTAAACCTGCATTTCGAAGTTTCTTTCACCATTATTTGTTGTGTTTGTTCTCTTTCTTAATTACTTGGATATCGTGGTAAAGGAACGTCGAGCTCAATGCAATAAAATTTCAGAAAGCCCTATAGAGGCAGAGCATAGCTTTTCTCAGTAGGTATATCCCAAATCATGATCTAAAGGAAAAATTGCAAGTGTATAAAAAATATTTAATTTGTCCCGAAAGAGGACTAATATTATTTACTTAAATTAAACTCAGAAATTTCTTTGATCATGAGAAAATCAAAGGGAGTATTTGCTAAAATCCCTGGAAATCTTTAATCCATGTTCTTAGTCATTTACATTTTGTCGAAATCATGCAGAAAGCCGTATCTGAGCAAGTATCATTCTCTCAAAGAAAGAAATAATCCTTTTTATCAATGAACAGAGGATAAGACTTATGGAAAGACTTCCAAGAATAATTGAAGACTTAGATTAATTATCTCTGTGAGAGGTATGATTCTTGGTGAGAAGAGGGTGTATCCCCCTGCGAATCGTAGAATTGTTGCTGGGATCAAATTTAGAAAAAGACAGATTTACTTTATTTTTTCACCGCAATGTATCTGAAACTATATATACATCTAATTTGTAGTCACTAAGCCCTTGTACTTATTTTATACTACGTTTTTACTGTCCCTCTTCTGTACATATGCTTTTGAAGTTCTGTAAAACCATAGTTATCTTTTTTATGATTCTCCTTTATGATCAAATTTTATAACTGGTCTATTTGTCACTATGATGTCTTTTTATTTCTAACAGTATCTCCTCATGAAGCTAAATGCGTATTTTATTGTTTAATTTTCTCAATGATGGTTCGAGCTTCATATTTCAAACATAGTATAGTAAGTTACTGTAAGTAACTAGAGTAAGTCACTCACATGTTCGCTGAAACACAGTTATCTGACATTAGTAATTACACTAATTAAAGTAATCAAATTAAAACCCAGGGTAATTACAAAAGAAAAATACTCTCTTACTCTATTGCCGTCATATTCCTCAACTTTTTGATTTGTTAGCTCCTTTTTGGACTGCTAACAACGAGCATCTGTTTATCTATTTCACATTCTGTTACCTAGGATCCTCAAAAAATTTAATTTTTACAGAGAAAATATCGATTTCTCTGGAAGTTGTTGGAAAAACATTATTATTAATCGAGTTTTTCTATTTATTCGCTGTGAATTTTGCATAAATTAAGCAGTATTTGTCTGAGTAAGAAAGTGTGACTAGAACTTCATAAAATTTAGGGCAGCCTTGATCAGTAATATAAAACCGTGTTCTGTGTGTACAAAAACTTTTGCCACTTGGTCCCAACTCCACTCACTCATAATTTCTGTCAACTCTCATTAATTTTGTGCATGAAACAAAATAATGTTATTTTCAAGCGTATTGTGTACAAGTACGCTTTTGTTTTTGTGTACAAAATAGGAATGTAAGTGTCTTCTTTATTTTTTTTAAACATACCCTTAATATTTCCTCAAATAAATTCAATACTTTGTATCCATCCTCTTAATTATTTCTTACAAATACCCCAGGATATAAAAACCGCACGCTTTGATCATGGAAAATGCTCTCAGCAGCTCTTTCATTACCACACTAGATTCTGTCGCACAACGTTAATTGGTTGTTATGCAAAAAAATTGGAGCGCAATCAGCAGAGAAGTGGCTAAAGTGGATACTTAGATCCTCATCATCAGATAGAGCTACGAATGTGAACCCTGATGAGGGAGGCTATTGAGCAATGACGGAAATGTTCCAGGGAGGATACAGTTTTGTTGAATGCAGATACTGCGTTTGTGGTTATGAAAGGGTGAGAAGAAAAATTATTATGCCTCTAAAGTGCTCTAAGGGCCATTAGTCTAGACTTGCACAAAGAAGTGATATTTTTGGTCATAAAATTATAAGAGGATTTTGTTTCCCTGGTCAAAGCGACATAAGCTTGAGACTTAGCTAGGGCATTCTTTGTTGTTTATGAGCCATTTCTCACCAGAAATAACTTTCTCTTTCTCTCAAGTTAGCAAATAAATCAGATAGTGCCCCTTTTTTTGGAATTATTGCTATTTTAGATTTCCTATTGAATGGAAATTTTTTAAATTTTAAACTTATTTGAATTTTTCCCCCTTAACTTCGTTTTATATACCAGATATGTTTTCGCTTTGATGGACTATACTGCTGTGCAATGCAAAAACGCCGTAAACGCCATTTTACATTTTTTGGAAACGATGTATCATAGCAGAAGAACTTGTGTACCTTGGGACATGTTTTTATAGAGTGCTTTTGCAAATACTATCTAGAACATAACCAGAAAATTTGAGGTGCATGGGTAAAACAGTTTTTATTTAATAAAGCATTAATTTCCAAAAATCGAGGGAAAATCTTGATGGATTTGCGGCGTTCTTGCTTAGCATGGCAGTATAATTCACAGTTGGATTACCACTGACACTCTTAATCATAGTTCTGAACAAAAGAGAAGGAAAGAAACTGTCCAAAAATGAAAATATTTCATAGCTTTATTTATACCTTTCAAAACAGTAGAAACGGTGAACGGTGAAAGTTTCAACAGAATTTTCCATATCATTACAAGAAGAGAAAATCATAGGTACAAAAGTAAAAAGACTATAACACCTTAACCCAGTATAACAAACAATGCAAGAGAGACCTACACAACATATTTACAAACACACAGCCCTATGCTTGCACAACAGGCTCGCAAGAGAAGTTGAAAAATGATGCTGTTTCTACTAAAAAGCAAGAAGTGCTAAAAGTGGAGTATGTCGAAGAAGATTTCAAAAAATCAAATCAGACGGCTTCTCTAATGCAACTCCTGCTATTTCAGTGATTCAATAGCTTGACAATTAAAACAAGAATTTTTGGTTTGACATATGTAGTGAAATATGAGGTTGAGATTCTTAAAAAAGGAGGGTAAATAGCTACCATTTGCATCAATATACAGTTTTTTCAGTATTCAGTATGTTTATCTTTGCCTTTATTAACTTCAAGTGGCAGGCACATAAACTTTTTTGTCATGACATCGATCATCAAACAGCAAACATCAATCACCGTGAAAACAAAACTGAAAGTTCATTTTCTTTAAAGTTAATTCTATGTATTTTGTTTCTTGTGTTTTTGGTCGCAAGTATGAAGGAGAGAAAACTGATAGATTACTAACTTTAAAAGTTTACATATAACTGCAGAAAGTAAATTTTTGAAAGAAAACACCCTGCTCATTCTTGCAGTTTTTTGTGTCCCCTTAAAAATTAAGGTTTTTAAATTTCTACCAGATTTGTTCGATCTAGTGAAAATCGTTCAACATTTTCTACAAAAATCTGACCTGACACCAACAATGGTACTTCAGTTTTATTAAAATGTGTATACTTCTCTTGAGTCTCGATTGAATCAATTTTGAAGAGTAACAGGAGACTTTCAGCTCAAACTTACACAACAGATGGTCATTTCTGAGCAAACTCTATAAAAAACTTAACTGTCCAAAATCAATAATGAAGCCCACAAAAGATGAATTGGATTCAGCCCCTACAAACGATTTTACAGCCGTTCTGGAGTGTAATTTTAGCAGATACATTACATATGATCCTCACAAACTGCAGGCAGCAGTATCTGAATTTTTCAAGAGAATTTATAGAATTTTTGGAGGAAGTATAATTTTTACACTTTTCCGACTTCTCTATTTTCTTTAATATTTTGCCCTCCAGGAGAATGAAGAGAACACTTGGATCTCATTCCAACTGTTATGGCTAATAAAACAAGTATGAGAGAAGCAAACTACCTGATGAGTGAAAGTAATCACACCATTTCATAAAAAAACATGTTGAGAGCTTCAAAAGAAAAACAGGAAAAATCATGGTTTAGTAAACTGCTCCAGGATAGATTGTGGATTTTGTTATCACATCAAGACAAATTCGGATCATAACTAGAGAAAAAGTGAGATGAAAGACATCATGTAGAGAGTCAGCAGTAACAAAAATGGCAAATGATACTCCAAAAATCAATCTGAAATCCGGTTTAAAAATAATGATAATTGTAAAAACAAATTACAAATAAATGAATAAAAAATATTCAATGAAAATTACCTTCCATAATTCAGGGTTTAAATTTCTAATTCTTACTTTTTTTCTTTCTAGAGAGACTGATTTATCAGTTTGTAAAAATAAAAGCCAAGTTAAGTTTTTTAAAACAAAAATAGTTTAGAAAGTAGAGCTGTTTCTAAAAATATGTTGGACTTTAATTAAAATTACCAACGCAATGACACGGAATGATTTTTAGGTGTGCTACCTATACTTAAAACAATAAAGGATGAGAAAGAGATAAAATCAAATTTAAAAGTCCAAAGATCAGAATATAATCTCTGGCATGGTAAAAATGGAAACTATAGTCATGTCGTATGTGAATATATTTTCCTTCTTGGATTTTGTTACGGAAATTTTACAAATGTGCTTCATGCACAAAACACCTTAAAACCCAAGACTTTTCTGTAAAAGGATTAAATAAATGTATCCATTAGCTTAGATTCCAACAAATATGGTAGAGTATTGAGAAAATCTCAAAAAGAAGGAGAGGAGCGCAAGGAACTAGACATTAAAATACATTTCACAGCAAATTTCTCCTTTTTTATTTACCTAAATGGACCTCAGATTCCATAAAAACTAAAGTTCAGATGTTGGCTTTAATGTGGGACAAATCTTTGTGACATTTTTCTGGTAAGAAAGTAGCCTTGGTTTCAATTTATAGACGAGTTAGTTTAAAAAAAAATAATAAAAATTAAGAGTTTTTGAACAGAAATCTTCAGACAAAGAATTTGTCAGAATATTGTGGATGTATTAAAGAGTTTTTGACATCAGAATAAGGAGACTACTATGACGTTTCTGAACCCCCGGGGTTCCGGGGGTTTCCCATGGGGTCCCCGCCATTATCTGACCAGAAACAACCGAGAAAATAGCATGGTGCATGTGGTCTGGATCACCCTGGCCCCCAAAGACTTCATTGATAAGGTAGAGGGAGGACCCTAAACTAATCTAAACTAACATCTAATTTTCTTTTCAAAAGAAGTGACCGGTAAAACAAGCAGGAAAATTCATTTATCAGGTTCATTAGACATGAGTTCACCCCTAAACTATGAATCAGATATAATTTTGCCATCGCGGTTTCTAAACTTTTACAATTCATCAAAGGCAGATAAAACAAGTTGAATGTTCTATACATATGTATTTAAAACCTGAAAATTGGTTGAAGTAGATTATGAAAATGAATTTAGAAAATAAAGTACACATTTCAAGAAAGACCGTTTATGCATTTTAGTTTGCATTTTTACAGGTCTTCTTTATATAAAACAAAATAAAATAAATAGAAATTCAAAAAGATGCATGGAATCGAAGAGAAATTGACAATGGAAGTTATTTAAGTATATTAAAGTGTTCTGTTTTGGTGAAGCTAAAATTATTAGGGCTATCACCAGAGTACAGGGCGATAGCATCATTTTTAGAGCTCAGCTCACTTGGCTTGAAAAGAGGAATTACTGGAATAGTTAGAATACTTTCTGGGCTTAAAACGGGTTTACTTAATTATTTACAGTATCCAACCGCTTTCTTAAAAAGGCGTTTGAAACTACTCTAGCTAAAAAACCCTTCATTTTTTTACGTGGAGCTAATTTACTTAAATTATTTTAAACTTGGAAAAGGTTTATCATCTCTTTCTTGAGCATGCAGACTTTTTTTATTTAAAATAATCATGTTTGTGTGCTTTTATGAAAAAACACACTCCAGGCTTTTCGAAGAAATGGTTGTCATTAAATCCATTGATTTTGTTCCAATGGTAAAAATGGTAACCAATGGGTTCAAACGATATGATAGACCTGCATCAATGATTGTTACCTCTGAAGGAACCCAAATCACAACAACAGTTTTTTAGGGCCCATTTTCACAACTTAAACCAGATATAAAACACTGACTGAATTAAAATAAAATTCATGTTTAGCTCTCGAATGAAAAGAACTGAGCACTAGCCAAACATCTACTTAACTTTGACCTGTCAAAATAGGAGGTAATCGGCGGAGTTACATGAAATACCTATTCATATTTTTAATCATCATTGAGGGCTGGTTGACTTGATTATAAAATCAGATAATAGATAGTATTCATGGAGAGCCTAGGCGACTTAAGGTGATTCTTCAAGCTCAAGTGACGTGGTCGAACTGGCATGCAATATATCGCATCAATTAGGTAAACAATCTCGGAGGATTTTGAATTTTTAGCAAAAGAAAGGGCGATCGCCCCTGCGCATGAGCCTAAAGAATCATTTTAAACCTAAAAAAGGGCAAAATTCAGAGAAATGAAAGCAGAATAATGTTAGGAAAAAAACCTCCCATTCGATAAGGAAATCGATGGCTGATTCGAATACGAGGTTTTTTCTAAACACTATTCTGCCTTCATTTCTCTGAATTTTGCCAATTTTTGGGTTTATAATGATTCTTTAGGCTCATACGCAGGGGCTATCGTCCTTTTTTTTTGTTAAAAATTCAAAATCTTTACCTAAGATTTTTTATTTTTTATAAGATTATTGAGATTTTTTACCTAATCAATGCGATATATCGCATGCCAGTTCGACCACGTCACTTGAGCTTGACGAATCACCTTAAGAAAACTACAAGAGAAACAAAGTAGATCACTTGCCTCAGGACAATCATCTGAGTAGATTGGCCACTTCTTCATAATTGCTACTTGAGTTATGGAAGTTCATTGACACAGACCTTACATTTGCTACTGTCGGTGGTGACTTGCTCATATTCATGATTTGTGGAGAGGTTGATCTACAGTTTCGGTCATGCGGTGGCACAATATAATCACTAGCAACCTGCTCGGCAGGAGAAACTGACCTAGATACAGAAGGCATTTGGAGGTTATTTGATCGTTGTGCATTATCATTGATCAATGGGGTCTGAGGTGCAGATCGCTGCACTAATTGGATACTCCCGAATAAAGATTGGGAGAGATCCCCATTGGGGTCTACAGCTAGTTGCCGAATATTGGTGTACGATCGTGCTATATTGTCATTCGCTGAATTCGTTTCTTCTGGCTTTGAGGATAACTGATTGCGTGCTTTTGTGGTGTTGCGGCGCAGTGGGTTTGGTGAGGAACGATTTGTCATCCGGAAGCTGGAAAAGTTCATCAGTCTTGACGAGCTCCGTTGGAGTTTTACCTCTGACTCTTTTGAGCGGCCAGAGCTTTGGTGCTGAGATTTCGTTCGGACCAGACCACTACTGTTTCCCTCTGCAACAAAAAAAAATTATACAAAAATTAAACGTTTTGTGAAAACTCCAATTGCTCAGTATTTATGTCTATCAATGCAAGACACAAAATTAAAAAAAAAGAAAAGAAACTAAAAAAAAAAATTGTGGGGAGGAGGGGGATCAATATAAAGTTTAACCAGCCAAATAGCTTTGAAATGAAGAATTTACAGTTGATATTTGAACAAATATGATATGAGTGTTAGGCAGAAAATTTCCATTCGATAAATAAGCCGAATTTTTTCTAAGTGAATGGTTAAAGAAATCGATGACATCAGGCTTAAAGTAAAACATTGGTTCATAAACAAAATCAAACCGCTTTAGGAGAACTGAGTCAATATAGAAAAGCTGGCACCTAGATATTAGCAGTTTTCAAAGTTAAAACCTTGAAAGGTTGCGAAATAAATGTGCTCCTTTAAAAAAAAAAAAATTAATTCAAAATTTGCCTGTGCGGACCAAATGAGGGAGTCACTCAGTAATTCAAGTGCCTTGAAGCATATTAGGAGGAGTAGGTTGAGATTACTGCGCAAGATCAAGAGGCCTGAATAATAGAACATTTTAAAGTTGATGAACTATGAAAAAGGAGGCCACAAGCAAATATGCTGATAACATCATTTTTTATGGTGCATCAACCGCAATACCTACATTCTTCAAACACGCATATTACTCTATCTTATATGCAGTAGCAATATTTTGCACTAAAAAGTATAGTAAGTATAGTAAGTTGTAGGTGAATTGAGAAGATTTTGTGTCAGGTCAGTATCTGGTAGACATGAGAATCTTGGTGCGATATGCTCCAGATGGAAAAAATTTGTTCGGTCAAGATCTGAGAGTGTTAAGCATATTCCTTTTTTTTTTTAGAACAACTCAATATCGAAAATGCAATAAAATAGTTTCTTCTTTTTAGTAATGTTAATGTGGTCAAACTAAAGACGAGAGCTGTTCAATTTTTTTCAAAGCAAAAGCTCGCAGGCTAATTTCAATGCAGATAAAAAGCAAGTAATATCGGTACAGCGGTGAATGCTAAAAAGAGTCAATCGTCAGCCGAAAAACTAAAATCACTGCGTTTGTTCATTCTTTTAAATCTTGTGCTTTACAAAAATAGTATTCTACATTTATTTTTATCAGATTAAAGCAAATTCATCCAAGAGAAGAACTTCAAGTACACTTCGTCAATACCATATTTATCATGATCAACAACATCCTCAACCTGGGGACAACTTTACCACCAGTCAATTAATATTAGAAACTGTGGTACTGCATCTTAGCAGCTGACAGTTGTCTATGATTTTCAGCATTACAACCTACTTAAGCTCATCTGTAAAATGCAGCCAAGCAAATTTGCTGCTGTAGAGGAAATGAGAAAATAAGCTTTGTTCAGAAGACTTCAAATAGTAACAATCAATCTAGGAACTATCAAATGCTAAAGATTTAAGCTAGATGATGCTCTCAATTTCCAAACGTACAAAAAAAAGAGTGGATTGCAGTCATATACAACCATGGTTTATGAGGCTTGAAAAGCAAGGGTTCGAGTGATTGGAAAAGAAAAAAAAAAACTATGCAAGATCAACTAATGGTGTCAGATACATGACTTAATTTTAAAAATGTTTTAATATCCATCCACTTAAATCTTGGAACAAGATGTCAGTTGATTCTGAGTTGGATGGATGCAGGTGTTATATTCTGAATTTTCTGAACAACTTTCTAGTGCAAGGCCAAAGCTATCACTTCAAGCCAAAACGCGCAAAATCTTATTATTCCTCTTTGCAGATATGCAGCCACAGCAAAAACCAAACAAAAGAGAAACTCAGCAACAATGTTAGCAATCAATTTACAAGACTACGCAATTACCATTGATCTCTTAACAGTTCCTCCGATATTCTTTTCGTTAATTCTCATAAATATTCTGAAAGAAATAACCCATACAAGATTCGATACAATAGAAACTAGTTTTTGATAAAAATATAGTCAATCAAAAGACACAATACAGAAATAAGGTTCAAGGAAAGGCTCATGATTTTTAAATTAGAACTGGTAATATGTAGTGCTAAGAATCATAGCTTGGACACTCTCTTACTATGAGTTATGTGGCTCAATCTAAAGACTTATATTATACAATTGAAAGCGCTTTAGTCACTTTCTCAAAAGACTTTAACAATGAGGAATTCATTTCTACCGATAACCTTGTCTTGATATCGCAATCTGATTTGAGAGCGAAATTCAGAAAGCTCTAGGTTCTGCTTTGACTAAAAGGTCTATCCATAGTTCTATGCGTCTAAAATTCTACACACACTGAGATGTATTTTCTCGACAATTTTAAATTAATTAACTAAAAAAAAACATGGTCATATGGTTACTTCGAGAATATAATTTAAAATTTTAGAAAGTGAATAATACATAGGAGCAATACTAAAAAGACTTCATGAGAGGTCAGTGGAATTTTAGAACTATGGCTGATTCATAAGGCAATAATGTGCTGCAAGCTTAGAAGTACGCTTTTTAAGCTTGTATCTGATTTTTCATGTTGTTCTACAACTAGCCGTTATAAAAATTATTTTTATTGCCCTGTACCCTATCAACCTGAGTCCAATGCTGATTTTGGTTATTTTTAGACATTAGCCTGAAACTACTTCATCACTTCATTTTTCAATACCTAGGCAGTTCCTCCATTTATGAGGAAGTTGAGCAACAGTTTGATAGTTTGAAAGAAACAGAATGCGTGGCCAAGATGATTCCTTCTTGACTGGCACCAAAGCTATATTTGTCTAGCTTCTAATCTGAGAAATAAGCGATCTGTCAGAGATGAGAGGCAGTTCTTCCTCCATCTCTTAGGCGTTTGTCCAGGTTGCCTTTGGTCAAGAATAAGATGACAAAAATAAAATGAAATCATTTTACCAAACATTTAACTGAGAAACAGTTCGTTGGTTACAAGTATTATTAGTGGCCTCATATAGAGTTTCTAACATTCTACAGCTTTAACAATACTTACGGGGTCGTTTAACAGTATTCTGCCTCCTGCGTGCCTGAACCATCCCATAAACAACTGCTGCAAGGCTGGCATGCTGACTTGGTTGTCGGGAACATGTACCTTGTTGAGTATCGCGACCAGTAACATAATAAGTTTCCATATTACCTTTGCCTTTGACAGCAACTATGCCTCGAGGTTCCACCTGATACCCACGAGCTGATAGAATCTATGGATAAGAATAATTTATAATCATTTATGGGAGAATAAAATATGTAATAGTTTTAAGTAGGAATTCCTCTTTCTTCTAATTTCACTACTATCATGTTAAATGCACTAGACTTTAATAATTTACATGTATCAAAGCATCATAAAAATAAAAATAACTCTTTCCGGTGGCATAAGGTTTTGGTTAAAATTATTACATGTTGCACGGCTTTCATAGAATTTCTATGATTTCATTGAGAAGATGGATAAAATGGAGGACTATTGGAGGGACAGACAATTATGTTTAAGTGGATGAAGAGATTTTGCTGCTCTTAGGGAAAGAGTAAAGTACGTATGTAAACTCATGCTTTCGATATACAAATGTACATAAACTCAGTGAAATTGGAGCTGCCATTGAGCAGAGCAAAAGGAAATGGTGATTCACATGACTGTGGATTACTGTGTCATTACTGGCCAAAATCATGCTTGAGGCAAAAGGATGCTTGTCTCCCAATAACATCTTTCCTGAAATATTTTAAAAATTTTAGGGCCACCTGAAAAAACGAAAAATACGAAATACTGAAAAATATGAAAAAAAAGGAGAAAAAAAAATCACCTCTGCCGTGTTTTTGGGGACTTGAATCCTTCCCATTGTCCCAGTAGAGTCCATTCGAGATGCTTCATTCACAGTATTACCCCAGACATCATAAACTGGTTTCCTGGCTCCTATTACTCCGCCGACCAGTGCACCGCTGCTTATGCCTGTTTCAGATTCAATCAGAGTTGATGAAATATCAATAGTAAAAACTGAAGTAGCAAATGGAGATTCATAAAAAAGGTTATTACCTACGAAAATAAAAAAAATATCTATGCGTCTCATAATTCTCTATGAGATCTTGTTTAGCTGCTGGAAAGCTATAGTGCTGTATCACTTTCTGCCAGCAAAAAAAGAGAAAATGTTTTTGCTGCAACAATTCAGTTTATTCTTGGGAATTTTGTTTCCACTCTGAAACATTGAATTATAATTTTATTTCAAGTTGCCTCAAGAATTTAAAAAAAAAAAAAAAAACAGCTTCATTCAAAAGAACAGCAGTAATTGTTCAGTGGGATTCATGAGCATTTAAAAGTAAAACAAATAGAAAAATAACGATAAAAGAATAGACAATACATTTCAATTAATATTAATGTTGCTCTCCCAGTGATCAACTGTTGTTTGAATTACTTCTGTTCTGAAAGTGGGCTAATACGAGCATTGTAAATAATAAAATTCAAAATTGAACAATTATCAATAAAATCTAGTGCAAGCTTTCCGCATTCAGGATTGAAAAAACAAAAAGAGTGATAAATATGAAGCTCACTTACCAACACGAATGTGGAAGTTATTGAATGAATGTTTGTTGACAAGTTGCAATGATTGACGCATGGCTATTGCAAAATCGACAAGAGCACAAATATGCTGATACTTGTCTTCCCCAGGTTTACTTACTGGGTCCAAGCCAGACACAGCCATGTAACTTGCACCGACAGTTTTGATTTTTTCTATGCAGCTAAATCTTGGCTCCGACAGTAATTCATCAAAATCAACTGTGAAAATAATTACACTCTCTTAGAAGGATTCATTCTCTCACAAAATTTAGGTATCAAAGTGGTGAAAGAATGGAAAAATTTCTGCTGGCTGAAAAACTCTACTTCATAAAATTTTAAAAAACAGAGTGGTTGAATAGTGCTGACAAAGCAAGCCCACAATTTGTGAGTCCACAATATTCTGCGAAGAAATCAAAGCCGGGATATTCAAAAATTGGTCAATTCGTAAGGTGAAAACAGCAATTCATCCAAACTGGATATTGAAATAAGAATAGTAAAAATAGTAGTAGCATATCTTCATTTTACAGAGGTGCCTTGGCAACTAGAGAGCACTTGAAAAGGCATATCAGAGTCTGAAAGAAAATCCATCAATTGCAGACCACCTTATGGATGTAGGACATGACTTAAGAAAGTACAGCATAAATCTAGCAAGAGAATGCAAAAATGGCAAAAAACTAAGCATTTTGAAACAACTGGAAATTGAAAGATACAGAAATGACAGACTTCTTTATTGGCAACTGAAAAGTAGCATGACAACGCTGGTGATGCCTCCCTCCGTCTTAACCCACTTCAGAAGGAACCTATCCGCAGATCAGCAAGCATGCGATGGGCTGGAGAAATTGCATCATATTTCAACATAAAGAATTTATAAATGTATTCTTTTTTTTATGAATCACTCAACAATGGGTTAAGCCTCCTTTGAAGTGGTCGTTGTAAATTTAAAATGAATAGGACTGCAATTTTTAGGCGAGTCGTCAAGAAAGCATTGTGAACAGCCAAAGTTATCCAAACTTGTTGATGGCCATAGAAACAAAATGAGAGCAATTTTCAGTGTTTTTTATTGTTACTTTGTATTCCTGTTGTCACTGGTGCAATTCAAATGTGCATTGATTGATGGGCATTGGAAAAATAGATAGTTGGCAGTAGGCCATTACCCACTCAACAGTCCATTCACATGCGCACACTAGGAGACTGTACTTGTAACAGCAGCTCTAAACTTGATGGGCCCTCTTTTTTTTATACTGGGCTTCCGGAATTTCTAACAAATGGAGGCTATTATTTCAGTCGATGTTGCATTGTCGATTTTTGCATCATATTAACAAGGGCACAAAAACTTACCAATGATCTCATTCAAGAGTCTTATGCATTCCATGCCTTTATTGATATCTTCTGAATAAAACTCGGTAAAATTTGGTATACTAGCAAACATGACTCCTACTGCATCTCTAGACTGAGAGTATAATTCCTATCAAAACAGAAAAGTATCAGATTTTAGTTGATTTAATTGAGGGCAATTGGAAAAATTAGCAAAAAAGAGATCTATGTCTGAAGAGAACTGAGCAGAGAGACAGTCAAACAGCAGATGATTCTATCTTTATCATTCATTATTCCTTCTGACACCTAACAGTGGAATTTTCTATTAGCAATAAAAACTTTTTCCACCTTTAGCTCACACACTGATGTTATTACCGTGATTGCATCCCCAATCTTACTTTGATGATCTGACTTATTCATATATATATTTATGTATCTATTTGTTTAAGTGCTTGAAAGTTAAAGATGATGACCAAATCTTCCTCTACTACTTTGAATCTGCTTCAGACTAAATGAAGTCCAGCACTTTTCAAATAAAATATCCCAGATAATTTCAAGATTTTCATGATAAAAATGGAAAACTTTTCTTGCTCTTGGTAAGTTTTAGAGAAAAAATTCTAAGAAACTTTCATGACTTCTGGAATCAAGAAGTAAAAAAATTCTTATTTTTTAACACTAAAGTGTGAATTTGGTGATTCTACAAAACATTTCATGAAATTTTTTTTGCGAATTCCATGACATTTTTCCAGGTTTTTCCTGTTGCCAAAAAAAGGAAAAATTCAGTTCAGACTCAGCTTTCAGTACAAGTAAAATCAAGTAAAGCATATTCATGGTGTTTCAAAATTCCAGCTCATAAGTATTTTTATCTCTTCAGACAAACCATTACCACCAAAATGATATAAATTTTTTTCTAGAGATATTCTTGTAGTAACAAGGAAAAAATCCTCAAAAAATCTTCCGAAAAGCTCTTCACCTCAGTTTGTCGATCTTGAGTTAGAAAGTGGTTGGCAACATGATCTGGAAGGATATTACGCAGCAGTTGACGGTTGTATCGACGAGTTTCATGCATTTCCATACATTCACGCTCTGCATCACGCTTCCAGAGGAAGTCTAGCCGAGATGTGACCTCAACAAGCCGTGCATGGTACGCTACCAGAACAAGGAACACAGCAAGGAGTAATAGCATTTGCGTTGCCATCGGCATCGTTGATCTAAGACAGATAAAAAACACAGAACTGAAATCAAGAACTGTCTTGAAAATGAATTTCTTAAAACTGACCAAGTGATCAATTCGGCTAGAAATCTTGATTTATTAGTCGATTTTGATAAAACAACATTTGCTTAAGTTCTCAGTTCAGAGGTTTTCTATTGTATTTTAGGAGTTTTAAAGTAAGTGCCTAGATGAGGAATAATGGAAGGCAAATCATTTTGAACCCCTGAAGCGTGCTGGAATAGAGTAATTTTCACTAGATTAGGGGGCAAAAATGGAGTTTCCTTTTCGTCAGAGTCAGCTAAAAAGCTTGATGATAATTCTTGGATGCATATTTTCAAAAATTGTATTACTTCCAAAAAAAATACAACAGGGAAACTGGCCCAATTTTTTTAATGTTATCCTTATATTTCTCATGAAATCACAATAGCAATTGATTTACTGCTAAGACAAAAACTACCTAAAGTTAGTGAGACAAGTTTTTTTCTCTTTTTGTATTTTTTTTTTTTAAAGAAAATCATTCTTGTTCTTGGTTCTTATTTTAGCCTCAGTAAATACATTGAGAAAAAACAACAGTACGATATGATAATGGGACAGAATTGGCTTACTTGTCATCGATGTAACTGTTCCAAAACACCTGAGGATGAGCCACTATCAGAGCTGAATACACAAGGACCATTGCGAAAGCGAGGAGAGTTTTGACCAGAAAATATAGTTTCAGCATTGTGGCTAGCGCAACAAGACACAGCACCCAAATGAAGACTAAATACTCGGGATGAATACAGTTTCCTGCACTTTCATCTAGCCTAAGTGTCACGTTGTGTGACTTTGAAGAAGCTATTGGGTTTACTGCTCGTTTTAAGCGTAGTAGACTATTAGCGTAGTACAAAATGAGATTATTGTCAAAATCATTTGTGGTATTTACAAATCCTAGTCTAGAATTATTAAAACTTTTGGTTTCTGCATTAACAGTCAGTTTTGTAACATTTGTTTGTGATGAGGATTTATACAAAGGCACACGAGAGACATAAGGTTCAACAATCCTATCAGGCATGACGTCTCCAAGAGGGGCACTGCCAGGTATATTTACATTTGAAACACTATTTAATGGAATATGCATTAATTCTTCAGAAGTGCCAACTTGTGAAGAATGCATTGCTGAGAGGTTTTTGGTTGGCACAGGAGAGGAATCATCCTTGTGCTTTGACAGTGAATAAAAAGAATTTATGTAGGAATTATCAGTGACTAAATTAAAAAATTTCCTAAAAATACTTGAATTTCCACTTGGTGGCAAGGACTTAGAAGTAGAATTAAAACTAACTATTTCATTAATATCACTTTTGTTAAGACTAGGAACTTCACTAAAACTGGGTAAAAATGAGTCGCTTTTGGATAAAACATCCAAATCGATTCTGGTATCTTGAGTATTTCGCTTTGATATCCTCCTTATATCAGGTAACAGCGAATGTATTGTGTACGAGGGCATGTTCTGAGCTGAGAAGATCTCATTTGAAAGATCTGCGCTTGGTCTCAAAAATTTTGGTAGGTTTTCTTTTTTGAAACTTGGTGTATCCCCAAACTGATAGGACCTATTCCACTCAGCCATCTTATGGTTGACATGGTCACCAGGGTTGATGATCTGCAACAGAAAACATATTTTATTCCACCTCAATATAATTTTATATGATATTTTTATGGAAAAAATTTGATCTTCGGAGAAAAGGTCAAGACATTTTTGGGTACAGAACCTAGAGGAAAAAAACCTGGATTTAAAAGTTCACATACATAAAATAAGTCACAAAATGTTTCACTACTGAAACAGACGTTCTTTGAAGAGGATTCCTCTTTCCATGTCTACGAATTTCAATTCTAAAATATTTTCTATACTTCCTTCATTCCATAATTTTCCATATTTATTTAGTTCCATGATAAATCTATTTCATAATTACTTCTCAATTACTACTCTCACTTTTCTATTAGAAGTATCAAAACCTTGGAGAGCTCAAACAAATAAAATTTATAAAAAACTAGAGAATATTGATTCCAAAAAATGTCCTTTTTCTTTTTAAGCCACAAAAGCTGTGTGTTTTTTTTCCCTTAAAAAATTATCTAGTGTTTGATACACTTATTTAAGAACTCTCACCAGACTTAATGAAGATGCGAAACACATGAGAGCAATGATGAAACAAATGAAAACTGTCCTCCGAGACCGGTTTTGAACTAGCATTGAGGACATTTTCTGAAGTGCCTCTGGAAATGCTGGAAACTCCTCTGCCATGACAAGAATTAATGCTCCACTCAATAGAATAGTTGTGAGAATGTGTGTTAAGGTGAGAATGAAAGATCTGAAAAGCATTACAACAAATGAAAATAATAAAGGTAAGGAAAATACAGATGTCCCCATAATCATATATCATTGATTCGAAAAAGTCTCAAGATGCTGCACCTTGCTCACAATCCTGAATTTTTCCACACAGCAAAGTTTAATTTAATCCACATTTTAAGAGTCATGCAATAAAAGGGAAAAAGGATGGGGGGAAAGGAAAATCAAAAGCAACTTGGACATGATCATATGCTATTTGGTCAGAAAAGTTCTCTTATATCCTATTCATTGGAAGTCAGCCTTAGCCTCTTCATACAATTTACTTAGTGTGGAAAAATTGTAAAAAATGGTGTAAAAGGTAAGTATAATATAGTGTAAATTTGGATCCATACAAAATTTAGAAAGTCGTACCTTGGTAGTATAACTATTTGACAGGCAACAACGAACAACCAAACAGTGAAGCAGCATACCATATTAGATTTGAACATATCTTCCGGTAGCTGACAATACTGAAAAGGAGAGAAATGAAACATTGGAAAGAGAGAAATGTCACGATAATAGAATTTTTAAACAAAATTATAAATTGATTTTTGTCGAAAGATTTTAAGGAATGATAAAAGGACCCCAAAAGACCCGCATTGGACCAAAAAATCAGGCCACAGCTTGCTCACATTGTGCTATTTCATCAACTATAGAACTGTATTGAGGGTCCTACTTTTTTCAGTTAGGTACTGCATTTCTTTGATGAAAAAACTGATCCTCTAAAATAAATGGAAAAAAAAAGATGGAACAAAGATGTTTATTTTGTCATGGGCCTTCAATCAGTTAAATGCAACTGAGATTTGCAAACTAGTTGTGTAAGCGCATTTTCTCGGTGGGATGTAGTGTTACGTCGCAAATCGCCAATTTAACACAGTGTAGCTCGGGCTATGATGATTCCAAGTTAATTTGTAATTCTGACAAGAAATTGAAGTATTCTTGCTTTCACTCTGCATTCTGAATTCATTATTTAACAGACAAATATGCAAATTCAGACACTTAAAACTATTTAATTGTCATTAATATCTAAATTTTCTGATTCTTCTTGGTTCCTGCGTTGCCTATAGCTGAATCACAGTGTGTCAAAATAAACTGACAATGAGAGACCTTTGATGCATGGTATACAGAGAGTATGGATATTGATAAACAGACATATTTTTGCTAAAAAGATCTATGCACAAAAGAAAAAAATCCAAAGATACTTTGAGGCACGAAAACCCACATACATAGTTCCTTTCCATTTTATTCATTTGCACGTCATTCCATTTATCAGTTATTTGCAATTTACAATAGTATCAATCGCATAAAGGAACTGGCAATCAAATTACTAGAATTGAAACTTAACAATCAAAAATAAAAAAAGCTTCACTTTTATCTTTTTTCTTTCTTTTTTTTTTTTTACTATCATATTTCATACTCTCATTTGGGAAATATTTAAAACAAAGAAAGCCTAACATAAAATCTGAGAACAGTAGTTCTTCATTAACGAAATTTGCCTTAGGCAAAGAGCAGGTCTTTTTTCAATGAATGCCATGAGAGACTAACCTTAGCTTCCATTTCCGGGTTTTTAAAACATAATGTCCATCGATTAATATTCTCTTGGCGCATCCTTTCATTGGACTCTACTTCAATGCAATGGTCCATCAACAGGTCCACTTGCTCTGCAGTTGTGAGATGTTGCTTGTGGTGATCTCGATGGTCACTCTTCATGCGCCCTGTAATGCCGGTGGAGAGCTCTGCTTCTATGTCTACCTCATCCATTTCATCGTCCACCTCTTGGCCGCTCGAACTCAGCTGAGCAAGGAAAATTGACATATTCAAAGACCAGTCCTTGAACAATGAAAAAACAACGCATTTCCTGCAAATTCATTCATTATGAAAAAAAACTAGGGGAAGCTCGCACCGAAATTACTCAACAATGAGTTGATTCAAATCCAGCTCATTCGAGTTATTACAACTCATGCAAGAGGCTGGGAATTTATGAGCTGGTGAATATTGTCCAGATTTGTGATAAAACACTTCATTACTTAAAAATAGGTACCACAGGATGGTCCATCCAAAATGGACACAATAAAGAAGATAAATAAGGAAATGCTATGGGCAAATAAGTGTCTTAATGGACTATCATTAAGGGGAAAAATTTACCTAGGTGAATCATTTGTTTAATGAGCTCTAAGAGTGTTGTTTTTGGATGAAAATGAATATGATAGACTTTAATCAATTGCTTAGCTTTTTAAGCTTAAAAATATTTGAGAGAAGACTCAAAATAAGTTTCATTTTAATTGATATGAAAAAAAAGGAATATCTTCATCCAGCTCACGTTTTCAAATGGAATTTCAGGTTTCCATTTAAAGTTGACATCTTCGTCAATAAAACTTAACATGTGATGCCCATTGCTGGATATGTTTTTGTCGTCCAGTTTATCTGAAAAGCAAAAGGAAAAAAAAATTAATTATGATTGTTTTATTTTCATTATCTTTCCACAAATTTCAACTCATAAACAGTAAACAGCCTGGAAAAAAAATTAAAGGCGTTTTTGAGAACCAAATACAAAAGATTAGATGCATCATGCCATTTCCCAGAAAGATTTACAAAAACAAGCAATATTTGCAGCTTATCGAAATTCTCTCATAGGAACAGTAATATTTTGAAAGTTGTGAACTCACAGGAAGACATCATAGAGGCATTTTAAAACAAGTGCTGAGCGAGTGGGAAAGTACAGAGAAAATTGAAGATATCATGTTAATTTTTTGTAATACCACAAGGCCAGTGATTCAATTGTTAAGATCTTAGATCCTTCTTCATAAAAATATTGAATGAAATTTACCGGTGAAGCAAACAACTGCAGTTTTCTCCTCCGACCACAATCTTGTACGAGATGGGTTATGCTGAATTCGCCTTCGAGGCCGACTTGGTTCTGCCCGTTTAATGAGAAAGGTTTCAATCCCATGTTCCTGTGCGGAAAAAATTGAAGTTAGTTATCAAACTGAATAAATAATCAAATGTAACTAATTAACTGACTTGACAAATTTATCCCACCTTTGATCAGATTTTAGGTGCAGAGTCCTCACAAGACAATTAAATTTCTCCTATTACTAAAATTTTGCTATTTGTTCCTCCTACAAGTTTATACAATGTGTATCATTATGATTGCTTTAGGCAGGGTGTACTTGCATGCTACGAACTTAGAAAAACCATTGAAATTTGTTGTAGTTCTTTCAATGGATAATTTACCTTCAGATAAGGATCCCTTGTATCTCCGTGGCCAGGTTCTACTTCATATGCATCTTTCAGGCAGTCAAGCGTTGCTTTAGAAATATGCACTCGCCTGTAAACACAGAGAGATATAACAAAATTTCCTCTGGAAGAAATATAGATAATTACTTTGAAATTGAGCCTCATGCCTTCACTTAAATAAAATTGTACACATTTGAATCTTGTGGCATGATATCGGCTATCATGGGGCATATGCATCAGGGTAAGTAAAATCTAAAGCACTCTGATGCATCTTTCCTTTTCAAGATTTAATGATCCTCACGATGAAAAGTTTAGAAACTAACTCCCAAAGAAGATAAAAATACTTATGTCATTAGTTGAATGATGTCATTTGTGCGATTGAAATTCCCTTTGACTTGTGTTTTTAAAATCTTGCTTTAGGAATGGATTCGCAGACTTCCTGTAAATGCTGTTAGCATAGCATTTTGAGGAAGGAAAATATAATTTGTATGAGGCTTAAATTTTTATCTTGCCTATTGGTAAGTACTTCTAACTTGATGCTATTACTGTCGTTGAAAATATATGCAAAGATATCTCTACTAGAAAACAGACTAAATGATTGGATTTTGGTGTTCTTGGCTAAAAATACACAGAATTAGTGTGCATTAGGTAACAGAGTCGCTAGATTAATACCAACAAAATTTCATACCCAGGAATTCCACCAGATTCTAGATGGTTTGCTAATGTGACATCATAAGACCAAACATCAAACTGCCATTTCCTTAATCCTAAAACACCGCAAAGTACAGAGCCTGAATGGATTCCAATTCGCATATCTAGGTCAACCTGAAATGATAAAAGTAAATAACTAGGTCATGAATTTGAAAGCCCACTTGCAAAGATTCAACCTAATGTGCTCTTTTTTTCTACTATCTTTGTGTGACTTTTTCTTTTTCCAGATTATAAATCTGAAATCTGAGAAAAATATCTGATTCATCAAACTTCAAAGTATTGAACCTTCCCTTTCAGATTATTCCTCCTTTCTTCCACTAAAATCATAGACTTACAACAAGCAAATCTCAAGGATAGGGGAAAAAGGTAGACATTAAAGAGAGAATATTGAAACTTCGGTACCAACAACAATATTCAGCTTTATGGAAATTTTGCTCACGAGGCAAAAAACCAATCATCTCCATGATCGGTACTCAAAATCATTGGTTACCATGAAATTTCACAAATTTTGAGTGTGTTGAGATAATTTTCAACTCAATAATATCAAAAACAATCCATTACTTATATCAAAGGAAATTTTAAAGTGTGACAAACCATGCTGTATGGTTGCCAGAAATTTCATACAGCCACACGGAATTCCATTGATAGCATGAGTTCTACTGGGCATATTTTTAGAAGAGCCAAGGCGGATTTTTCACTTCCAAACGTGCAAAATCGTTGTTTAGGGAACTTTTCAGACACTTAAGAAAGTAACAGAGGTATTATGAAAACACCTTACGTTAAGTTTCTTCCGGACATCTTGGATTGCAGTGATCATGTGAAGTCCCATTTCTACACAGCAGCAGGCATGGTCTGATCGGGCGATGGGAAGTCCTGATACACAGTAATAACAATCACCTAGGAGTTTGATCCTTAGACAATGGTTTTCCTAAAAAACAAAAAAAAAATTAGTTGTAAATCAATGCCGATCATAAGAAAGCAAAAAGAATGTCTACATTTTGAGCAAAAATCTGCCTGTAATTCTAAGTGGTTTTAGACTGACAGTTAATTAACTGATTTGAGTGTAAAAAACATAGTTAACTTCACCCAGACATAAGAGTTCTTCTCACTTATCCCTGACTCTACCATTGTGCCTCAAACTTTTCAGATTTTATAAATTTAGAGGGGTGTACTTAATCATGTTCAAAGTAGTCAGCAGCCTGCTGATTGTTAAAATTTATATCAACCCAACATCCATAAGATATATTCAGACATCAAATTGTGATATATTGTTAGCGGAAAGGAAACAGAGAATCACATTGTTTATGAAAATACTCTTAGATTGTCAGAGGTAAAGGCTATCGAAAAGACTGTAGGTACTTCGAGCAAGCGTGACGAGTGCTTAAAATCTTAGTAAGCTCTTCTTCCTATCCAGAAAGCCTCAAAAAACTCTGATTTTGAATCTACCTGGTACTTGGATGATCAAATAGGTAGTAGGTATACAAACTTGAGTTTGACAACAAACTTTCCGGACTCACTGCTTAAAATGGTCGGAGTCATCATTTACGGGACACTTTCTCTTGAAATAGGTAATATACCAACGAAGGGTATTTACGAGCAATTCTAAACAAAATTTTGAAAGTTAAAAACGCACAAAAATGTCACTAGTGCTGCAATTGATGAGTAATTACAGACTAGTGAGTTCAGGGTTGACATCTTCCCGCATCATACCTACCTATTTCAACCTTGAAAGCTCATTCCTACTTGATAATTTGAGGATACAATAGATTCATTTGACAATAAAATTTCCATGCCCGTGCGTGTATGGGATGTAAATACCTTAACCGGCAGCGATGAGGCATGATTATGAGGAAAAAATTTAAACTACACTTGATCGATGAACAACTTCTTTGGCTAGTCTGAACCTCACTTTTGAAAAGGTAACCATTAAACATACTGACAAATTCTGTTCTTTAGATTTTTGCTAAAATTAAAGGAAGATTTAACAATTTGAACACCTTCGATTTCACACATTATTTCAAGTCAATACAGAAATCTGCGTTGAATAAATTGGTAGGTAAATTACGAAGAACTTTGAAACTTTGGTTCGTTTGTTTACACAATCTGTGCCTCTCCTCTAAGCTCCATGTGCTCGCGTCGAGTGGTGCGCTGCGCATGCGCCATGAGCGCTGTGCAATTTATGAATGAACCATTCAAAACAAAGCGGACCAATGAGAGGCCAAGAATTCGTCGTCGTACTCATCGTAGTACTACGCGTAGTATTTTATAGTGAGTGTTGCCAGATCGAATGAGAAAATGACGAGGAAAGCTTTATGGGCCGTACAATGTCATTGTAACTGATTGTATACGCGAGATTTCAATTGAAATTTCGCATTTCCTCTTTTTGCGCGCTCTTTTAGAGGTTTCATTAGTTAAGTTGGCACTTATTACATTCCGCTTACAAGCGATCGCGATGCAATCGTCCAATAGCGATCAAAAAACCAATGGCATTCATTCGTGATTGCGCGATGAAACGACTTCAAACGGCGAGATTTTAGAATACCTACCCGCGCGCCGCGATGGAATAGCGCGCTTTTTGAAAAGACGGACCCGATAAAAACTAGTGCCGAAGTAGTAGGGAGGGGGGGGGAATCTGTTGCAGTCGAGCTATGCGCAATAGTTAAGACAAAAATGGTGACGTCACTTACGTCCTGGTTGAATGTATGCATATACAATCTTGTTAAATCCTCTTGGGAGTCATATGTAGCGATATTTGCTATACAAATAGCAAGAAAAAAACCCCAAGTCCCTCAAAAAAGATCTACACGGCTTCAGTTCTTCAATATTCGCAGAAAATTATTAATTTTTGACCCTATTCTTTCCCTTCGAAAACTTTTTTATAGATGATACGTGATTTCACCGATACATTTCTAAAGAAATAATATGTGGCGAGTTTCTCCTTATATACTTACCGTAGCAAGTTTATCGAATTTCGCAAAAAGATCGTTTAAGACTTGAACCAACTCTTGAGCTGTGCATTGACTTGCCCATGCTGAAACAAAGAACCGATTGGAAAAAACGTATAAGGATTATTGGCAAGAAGGGGGGGGGGTACTGTAAGCCTAGTATTTCCATATAAGTTTGGACCCAATTTTTTACGCGGGTGATCAAAGCTTAATTTAAAAGAATCAACTCTATTCTAAGTTGAGGGTCAAATCGGGGAGGGGGGGGGCGTAGAGTCCCTTTATCCCTTTATAGAGAGAGTCATATATGCGACTATATTCTGCGAACGAGTTATGTCACTTAGATTTAGGAGGAAAGCTAAAAAACAGGGCCCGATTACATCTCTCCTAGCTTGGGTTGTTTTGACACTAGATTTTTCTTCTTTTTTTTTCAATTTGACTTCTAATTCTTTTTATACGATGTATTTGTAGACCTATATCTTCAGCGCTTAAATACCGGCTCTATACAACCAGCGGGCGACGTATTTTTTACGAGCCTCGGGTTAATTTGACCCGGCTTAAGCAAGGGTTAAATGACAGTAATCCCTCGAAAAATAAGAAGTGAGCGTGAAGAGAGAAATAGTTGAGTTACGTGTTTCTGGTAATTTTCAATTCAGGTGGAAAATGTAATGGAAAATAAAAGAGAGAGAAACAAAAAAATGTGCAGAGGCTCAGAGACCACTTGGCATGAGGACAAACTGATCACATTTTGCAAAATGGAACTGCTATTTCTGGCCCATTTTAGAAACAGCATACATGCCATTGGTTTCCCTATGCAGATGTATGCTTTTATGGGAGAGCCAGAGATAGTGGTTCCTTCTTGCAAAATGTAATCCAAACTTTGTATGAGATTTATTCGAACTTTTAAAACCCATTCATAGATTATGATAAAATTTACCCTTGAAAAGAAGAGGATAAACATATCGACACTAACCTGTGAAGCCTTTAATATCGGCGAAAAGTATGCTTACATTCTCATAACAATGAATGTATATTCGGTGAAACTGCTGAGGAGTGAATGAGCCTTTATCGGCTTCACTAGCAATATCTCGGATCATCTCTTTCGCTACAAAATCAGGCAACACTGAAAGAAATCGTGATAATCAATACATCGAAAAGGAATGCCTTACGTTCTGATGATAAATGAAATGAAAAGATTTAATAATGGTTGTGGGTGTAAAGAACTTTCCTAACTTTTCTCGATAAAAATATTTAATCTGGAGAAACGTGGCTACGTTGGAATGCTTATACGACGTCGAAACACAACATAGGCCTTTTAAGCTCTATTATTCGATGCCGCGATTACTCTAACGAGAGTTCGAATAGTCGCACCAAACACAGCGGCAGTGCGGCCGGCGTTGAACGTATATTAGCGCCTGCAAGACTTTAGGAATACTTCACGCATTGCGTCAAATAGTGCGGCCGGCGTCAAGCCCATATCAGCGCCTACAAGACTGCATAAATACTTCTCGCATTGCGCTAAACGCAGTGCAGTCGGTCAGTTTGCGTGAAACGCATATTAGCGCCTACAAGACTCAAAAACTCGGATGATATTTCTTTTGTTTTTGGTTACATTAAATAAAAATGGAACGAACGAAAATATCGCGTCGAAATCTTCGATACTTTTATTTGAGATCATTCAGGTTTTGTGGAAAGTTTTCAGAGAAACTGTAAGAAGCTTATTAAAAACGTTTATTAAAAATAAAACACGAAAAAGGTGCATAACGTTGCGATTGGACATAAATATACGCTTTCTTGCGGGTGCACCCGTCGGGTTTTGGATTCATTCATCTCTTAAAAAATTTGAACATGGTTGCTCTTTGATTTTTTACGTGTAGTCTTTTTAGTGGTTGGCGGCCGCGTAGCGGCCACAGGCCCTTAGTTCACTTTTTAAAAGTCTATGAAAGCTCTCTGGGCAATTCGTGCTGCGAGGGCTATCCATCAAAGAGAGACACCCTATAAGTAAGAAGGGAACAGTCTTCCGCGATGTATGTATCTACCACAAACTACCATGATTGCCAGATTAACGCCTCCTCGTTGAATGTTGAATATTGAATATTCGCGCAAACGTGTAAGTTTTTAGTACCAGAAAAATTCGCGCAATCCTATGCATCTCCAAAAAGGTAAAACCTGGGGCATTCGCGCAATCCTATCGCAGCCCTTCGGCTAAACGATTATACGTATAAAGTACGACGATTTAGACGCCTCTTGGCCGTTGGAGTGGTTGTTTCTTTTTCTTGAACAGGTTGTCTACTGAAACACACTAGCCAAAAATCAGTACTTTTTCAGTACATTCTCAAGAAATTCAGTACCTTCTCAACAGAAAAATTCAGTACTTTTTCAGGACCTCCACTCGACCGAATTCGAAAAATTTCCAATTTGAATTTCTCGCTCAAATTGAGACTAAAATGACACAAATTCTGTACCTTCTTGCGGAATTTCCGCACATTTTCCGTACTTCCGGACCGCCCTTAAAAAATCAGTACTATTTCTGGACTTTCCGGAAATTTCGGCCTTGTTGACACCCTGTTGAAGGCCTCCTTCAGCCGTAAGTGGTAAATTAAAGTAGCCTTTTAACTATTTTAAGGGGTGAGTATGAATATGATGAATATAATGAATATCAATAAGCGAGGAGTAGAGAGTCATCGCTCTACTTCTCTTCTTCCATAATGTAGTAGAAATGATGCGATGATAGAAAGGAAACTTGATGCGTGCTGACCTGAGAGAAGGAGCTTTTCTTGCTGATCGTTTTCCTTCTGGGTGCGGTACCTGGTCTCAGTGGACCTGTGCGTCTCGAGAAAAGCCCTTCGTTGCCCTCGATCGGTTAAGTACTTTGTGTACATACACGCTGAATTGATTCCCGTATAAATCAGCACCATTGTTAGAATCTGACTCACAGCGCACCCTGCATCCTGCAAGTGAAACTATAGTTAAAATTGGTGCTTGATAGACAGAAATCCCTGAGTGCATTGCAGAGAGCCTCTCGGTGGTGACTTTAGCGCGTTTGCAATTACACCTCTATTCCTTTATTTGAAGAAGTTACCTATGTAAAAAAATCAATACTCGTTGAGGTAGGCTGCCTCAACTAGAATCGATATTTTTAATATTGACATGGAGGAGGAAAAAAATTGCCAACTTTTAAGGATTGCAGCTTCAGATCCCTTCCTTCGTAAAAATTGATGTTTGAAGTTGAAATATAGTATTAATTATACGAAATGAAGCTTTCATTTGAGACACCACGCAAAAATGGTACAGCCCAAATTGAATTTAATGTTAAAAGTGCTATTTTTTTCCTTTTTGGTCCCTCATTAGACAGTTAGCATATTACCTATAATATAACCATATAACCTAACCTAACTTTTCTAAACTGATGGTATATCGATGGTGAAATTTCCAAAGCACGTACCTCAGTTTGGGACGTTTCAAACTTCCTGCCATGCTTTATATTTTAAAGGAAATCTACTAAAAGTCGATTGTCTTAAACTTCTGTCTTTTTGTTCTCCGTCAAAAAAATTAAATGGGAGCGGATATTTTGAAACACCCTCAGTGAGATACGTGGTTTGGGAGTATTATCGTCGATATACATAAAGATGGCATCTTACGACAATTCATTTTGACAGAGAAAATTAACGTATGATAGGATCGCGCAACCTATGAGTCACTTTAACGCGGATGAAAAAATGTTTTTTTCAGATCCGGCTAAGGACAAAACTGCGGATTTTTTCATTCATATAAGCTCTTGAGATTAGTTCTTTTTTGCTTGAATGGAAAAGTGACTTACCGGCTCTTTACGAAACTTAACGAAACTGGTGAGAAAAACATCCAAAGTAGCCGTAGAGCAGGCTCCGATAACGCACCAGCGAAGAGGGAGAGGCAGCATTGCATACGTCACGAAGATAATGAAGAGCACGTACCAAAGTAAGAACTCGCGAGTGCACAAACCAATGCTCTCCGCTACAAAACCTGAAACCAAATTCGGAGAGGGAACCACGTCAGATGTGAAAACTTGCGATCAGAGCGTGTTTTAGGTTCGAAGCTACCTCCTTAAAAAATAAAGATCTTCCTCAAAGGGTCGAAACGTTTTACTTCATGAGGCTAATTTTCGCGAGTAGATTTACGGTTGACTTTTTCGTTTTTCCATTAACTCAATCTTTTAGTCTGTTGAGCTCATCAGCAACCGGTGTCTGAACCAAATCCAGAGTTACTCGACCCACCTCCGGAGGTAAGCAAAACGTGGATGAAAGTAAACGGTTTCACCAGAAACCTTGAAAAGCAACCAATTTTACCAAAATGGCGGTATTCTGTGCGACAAAAACGACTGCTGAGCAACAAAAACTGCGGAGTGGCGATAGAATGAAGGAAAAGGTAAAAAAGGCGCATATTTTTGTGCATTTGCATTATAATTTGTATGGTATTTTATATTATAGCTTAAGTCGTGTTGCATTGGCTCATTGGCGCGCTTTTTTTGACCTAATCCGGGATTTGGCTCCCTTTCTTCAGGATTTGCTTGAAAATTAGATACTAGATTCTGATTGGTTCAAACTCCAACGGTGATACAACAATCATCTCTCCGAAAAATTAATCGAATCCAGTCGCAAAAATTCGCCTAAAGATCGATCGTGCCTTGGCTTTAACTAGCAGTGGGGGACCAATATTCTCTTGAAGCGCAGGAACAAACTTTGTAATTACCGCGCTGATGTTGATGGCCTCTTATCACCAGTTTTTCCTCCCAGAGGGAGCTGGTGATTAAATTTCCATCCTTTTTTGTAATATTTGTCTTGTGTGCTTTGATTTTGCTGCACTGTGCCGAGTCTGTTTACCTGGTAATCAGTCTCGGTCTCGCAATAACAGCGTAGCGACGGCTCGTTTTTTGTTTTTAATTTATTTTTCGGTTGAAAATGAAATTGTAATTATTTTGAAACGTTCCGGGTTTTGTTTATTCCTTTTTCTTTATTTGCAGTCTTTTCCCAAATTAAGTTGTTCTTTTATTATGTGTATTTTGGCTGATTAAGTTGTTTCTTATTCTCAGAAATAAGAATGTCGACTGGGAGAATTCTCCAAAAGAACGCAAATTCATGCGCACTTGGTACATTTTTGTGGATTAAGTCCCATTTTTTAACATTTTAAATGATTTTAGAAGTAGGAACTAGGTTTAACTTGGTTCTCTTTTTGAATTTAATTTGGTATTTTATCTGATCGGTGGGAGAGGCCGCTTTACAAAAAGTGATTTTTCTGTTTAGCTCAGTTTTTTGCTCAGAAATGAATAAAAAAACCTCGAGGTCCATTAAAATTAATATTCACATTCAATGGCGTGGCATGCTTTGCGATAGATCGAATGATCTGCCATTTACACCCATGAAAAAGGATCGATAGACAGATTGTTCGCAATGAACACCTTAATAATCGATTCTTAACCATAGCTTCAAATTCACGCCACGCCACTGTTCACATTACGAAGTTTGTGATCAATGTAAGTCATCTGGGCCCATCTGTGAAGTACGGGAAGTAAAACGCTTTCAAATCCGGCAGAACCGTGACGATTGAGGTACGCAAGAGAAGGAGGAGACGGGAAAAATCGCATAAGCGAAAGCCAAAAGCTGACCGAGGAGTAACCGCGGTAGTGCCGAGCTGGAGGAAATTTTCTTGTCCGTCCTCGGAAGAAAAATTTTCCCTGCGGGGGAACACACGCGCCACCGCGCTGTCGCAGTTGCCGAAGATCCCTGAAAACCCCAATTTTCCCGGGGGGAATCCTCAGAAATAAGGAGGACACTCCCGCGAGGTAGCGTTTACGCCTCGGCTCTCAAGTCAAGCCGCTGTCGAACAAATAATAAAAGAAAAGAAGCAAATTGTTTGAGCAAATTCATTTGCCGCACAATGCGGCTCGAGGGGGGACCGACAGGGGGCGACGGGGTAAGTTTATTCGTTTGATTAGTCGTAATTAGTGTCGAAGGCGGACGGTGAGGAACGGAGAGGGTGGCAAGAAGGTAGGGCTCTAATAGAAAATATTAGCCTCGTCAATCTCCCCCCTTGCTCCGCTGGGCCCAGGAGCAGGGTTGCCGCCCTCCGACATTTCCACAAATGTCCTTTACGCCCCCCCCCCTCCTTTAGCAAAATCCAGAGAGAGACGTTTTCAGTGTTTTCAAAATATTTGCCTTGAAAATAGTGATGACAATTTGTTGGTGAGAAATGACTTATATTTTTCATCTATTAATAACAAAATGATACTTTTACATTTTCCGTCACGATATGTTCAAAAAATCTTCTCACTACCTATGGACTATCTCCTCATTTTGTATAGATATTTATTTTTCTTTAACTTTAGTTAAATCATCTCCTTATTCAGGAATTACACATATTGATATAAAATAAATGAACTTAAGATTAGGTCTCCTAAGACTAGGTTATCATGATAAGAATAGATATTTATTTTCATGCTTAATTCGTCGTCCCTTTGACGTAAGGACGTACCTCAATTTTCACCTGAGCCCTCTGTTTCGTTCAGCTCTATGCTTTAAAGAGCTCATTCGGAAATAGAGATACGCCCTTATGTCAGAGGAACGACGAATTGTGAGACTTGTATCGCGATGAAAGAACTCCAATTTGTAGAATGGGACGACATTTAATATTTTTCTCACAAATCCACCGAATTCTTTGATGATAGGAGCAGTATATAATATTTTGGTGACCGAAGAACTGTTCCGAACATTGAGCGATGTTTCGCTTCGAACCATGAATCTATATACTATTAATCTGCACACGGTAAAGAAAATATTGCCGGTAATTTTACAAAATTTCCCTTGGAGTTTTAATACAAATAAAATTTTGGTAAACTTTAACGATTTTTCCAAAAGCATATAGTTTTTCAAAATTGCTTGCGCATAAAGTAATGATTGTTTCTTTAAAAATAATAATAATAATAATTCGATTATTACGACGTTCATTTTGTGATTTTCTGAAAATGAATATTTCCAAAAAATGAACTATTTCTTCTTTAGAAACAAATATTATACTGTTAGAAAGTATGTAAAAATCGAGCGGATGTTCCCCCTTTTTTCTTTCTTTCTCTTTGTGAGAAATATTGGGATAATGCGAATGATTCCTTAATCATAAGAGTCGGCATGGGTTCCTTGAGACGAGAAATAAAATATGCTAGTTGAAAAGTACCACCCTTCAGAAATAGGCAAATAGATTAAAAAAAAGAAAAGAAAAAAAAAACCTGCTCATAGTTTTTGGAAATTTATATGCATACAATTCGCTCAGATCAACGTGTGTCAATGGAATTTATGTTATGTTTTGAAGAAAAGTATTGTCATGGTATACTGCTCTTTCATGAGTTTAATCACCCAAATTCGGCAAACTTGCGCGGGAACGTTCACTGTTTGCTTGGTTTGTTTGTGTGTCTGTAGGTCATACGCGACGATTAAGCAGCGATGCCAGGCCAAAGAAAATTCTCAAGAATTTTTGAAAAATAAATTGAGGAACTGTTGCATTACAACGAGCAACTTACGACATTGTGATGCTTGCTAAACTCAATTAACACACTTGATTCGCAGGTTCAAATGTGCCGAAAAGCTCATACAACTTTGTGCAGAAAGAAATTAAGTCTCTACACGCTTCTGGATGACAGACACATTATGGTCTGCATAAAATTTACCGTAAAATTGAGTAGGGTTGGCCCATAAAAAATGGCAATTCTGCTCTTCTTCTGCCACAATAAAAGAGCATGAAATATTTTATTCGAAAGAGGTGTAAATTCAAAGAAGTTTAAGAGGAAACTTGCAGCAAGCCCAATACATCGGACGGGATACGCAGAAAAACTTTCTGTGGATGAACCTAAGAGTCCATCTAATATCTTGAATGTGATGCTACATTTCCTTTCGGAACAGTCCGTCAGACTCGGAACTAGGTACTCGGGAGCACCGTTATTCCGTGGACTTTAATAAGTCAGAAAAGCAGCTGAAGCATATCAAAATAAGATCTTACAAGTGATTAGAGGCAGTAGACAAGAGAAGAAAAATGGGTGGCCGTTCGAGAGGTCGACAGTCGGGATGCGAGGTTGCCGAATTTGAGAAATGCAGCACGATCCTCATTCCGAGATCCGTGAAAAAAGGGTGTTTCGTGCGCCATCTCGCGGCGCCGAGAGGGAAATAATGAGGTGAATTCGAGACCGAGTAGAAATCATATTTTAAGAGTAATGAACGTCAGGAATTATGAACGACCGACTTTACAGGGATGTGGAGGAGGGGCAGAGGGAGGGGTCGAAGTCACGGGGAAACTCAGTCGATTGACAGGTCGGAACAGGGGCGGGAAGGGAGGGCGCGGAGGGTGTGAGCGTGGTGAAATCGCACGTCATTTTTTGCGGGGAGAACTTGATTCGATTTCGGATTGCTCGACGAGAGGAAATTGTTGCTCCATCGTTTAATTATGACGCTTTGGTGGACGTAGCTGTCGATAGCGAACGCTCTGTTATGAGTGTAACAGGTTTAGCCTGTACATTCTTGACTCAATAAAAACACAATTGGGAAACGCACTTTGATAAAAAAGACATAGGTAGTCAAACATGCAATTTTTTAGAACCAGATTTTATTTCATCAAAAATTATATTTCATCACAGGAGAGGAAAAACTGTCCAGAGCAAATTTTCTTTCCTCTATTACATGATGGTGTGCCATATAAATGTATTACTCCGTCCTAATTACTATTACTCCACATGATGTATCAATTGCTAAAGCTGGAAAATGCATATCTCCATTGCAAGGTTTCAAAATCTCCGGTTATGGTTTTTTTTTTTTTTTTTTTTTTTTTTTTTTTTTTTTTTTAAAGGAAACAAACCATATTTTTGAATTATCCCCGTAGCTTAGTTTCCATTTACACGAATATGTTCTTAGAATATTCACTCACTGCGCCCTGCACCGTCCAGCAGACGAAACTCTAGAGGAAAAAATAAAAGTCCGGTTTATAGA